TTTTAGTTTCATATTGAACGTGGTGGGCATGGGTGGCAGGGGCTAGTGATTTTTCTTGGTTTGATTTTCAAGATTGGGGGTTAGTTTTCTTTGTTTGATTTTCGAATGTACAATGGGTTGGAAGGTGGTGATGGAGAGTGCCGGCACTGGTAGTGCGTGGGTGTGGGTCGAAGATGGCAGCCTGATTACGAGTTCTTTCTGTCTAGGAGAACCTAGTAATTTCGTTTATGTACTTATTTCTAATTTCTCGTGTGGTACTGACTAGTGCTAATGCTTATTCAGCGTTGTATAGCAATTGGTAAACCGAGGTAGTAGCTCAACAGCATACTTTCATTTTTGCAGTTTAGCTATGTAGATTATTTCAAAGTTAGCTTTTTTTCCCCCCTTTATCATATTTTGATTTGGAAGGTGAAGACTATAAAACCGATAAGAATTATCTGTGGCTATGTGGCTATCACGACCAGTAGCGTTTGTTAGTTTGGACACATTTTGGCATGTTTAATACTAGTTCAGAGAAAACAAAATTAAAATAGTGTTCACTATACTTTTCAATCAACAAGTCGTATCTAATACTGTGTGGTAAATATGCACTTATTGTGCAAGTTTTGAAGGATACGAGGTGAGGAGGAAATTGTGTAAACATGTTTGCCATTGCTTCTTTTATCATTAGGTATTTTCTCTAGATTTTCTTGATGTTGACATAATCAAGTTTCTTCTATGTTTTTACCTTTATAGTTAAGCCAAACAAGTTTTACAAATATTTTCTTAGATAGTCTTAGAATTAATGGTTTGTTTGATTACATTTATTTTCCATGGAAAATATCAGTTTTCCACCCAAATTCCTACTTTGAGTGTTTGATTGCTATTTTTTTCCATGGAAAACATTTTCCAACTTTTGAAAATATGCCTAATTTTCCTTGTTTTTAAGGAAAACATTTTCTTTGAATAGAGGTGATTTTTATTTTCCATAAAAGATGAAAAACATTTTCTTTTCTAGGTGATATTTTCCATGTTAATCAAACATGCTCTTAGTTGAAAAAATAATTTTTCTTGTAAAGTAGGACCCAATAGGTCGAAGACTTGGTAAGGGTCAAGTCTTCGAATTGTTGCCCATCACAATATTTTTGTTATATTTTTCAATGAATCCATATTCTTCCACGATCCTGGGGCCGCCTATTATTATGTGGGTGATT